AGAACTATTACAACCTCTTATCAAAAGAGTAATTTCAATCTATCACACGTGCTCACTTCCATTTCTTTTGTTTGAAGTTGCAACAAATCCTCAGAGGAGGTCAACTGAATAGAGACTGATTGGGCACACTTGTGTTCATTGTGCACAAGAGTAATTTGCATAAAGAACATCTCATTCCAGGGTAGGGTTGATCTTACTGGTGGATAAAAATAAATAAATAAATAAAAAGTTTTTGGTGTAACGGTCAACTGTGAATTAGGTCTAACCAGGCTTCACATCGTTCTGCTCTTTGTGGACAAGATGATTTCTTTTATTTTTTTGTCATCTTTTTTATTGATTTTGTTTTTAGAACGCATACAAAAAAAAAAAAACACAACAAAATCTCTTCCCACCCTACCCCTCCCATATTGGATCAGCTACAGACATGCATGCAATAGACGGGCACTGACATACTTTCAATACGATATATGCCAAGTGTCCCAAAATCTCTCAACAGATCCTTTCAGAGTTTATCTAATCTTTTCCAAATGAATATGACTCATAACTTCGCTTATCCAGTGTATGCCAGGGATGCAAATCCATCCATCTGCATAAAGTAAGCCTCGCCAGAAGAGAGCCAAATGCAATCCTATTCCTCTCACACATGCTAAAGGATGCATCCACTGGGGACTCCACAAACAATTAAATGAATGGTGACAGGCAGTTTTTTTCCACATATCCCAGAGCAAGCATCAAAACTAGATTGCCAATAGCCCCGCACGTCCAGAATGTGTGTGAGTGTAGCTGGAGTTGTTTACAGTGGTTACATGCAGGATCCAGGTCTGTTTTAATCTTGGCCAGTTTATCTTTGGGCCTCGTTTTATTTATTTTTAAGTGATCTTTTGTGTGCCTTGTCACCTCAAGGTCAAGGTCTTCTTTGTCATTCGCATCTCATGTGGTACATGTGGTGGAACGAAACTGTGTACACATCTTCCTGATCTGGTTTAATTTGCCATGTTTCTCTTTCCTCCTCGTTTTTAGATGTGATGAAAATTTTTGCCAGGTTTTTGGAAGAACTGCTGAACATTGCTGAATCTTCGAAAAATAGTAAGAAAACTGTTTCCGTATTTAAAAATGTATATATTTATAAGCAATGCATACCACATGTCGTGCTTCTTCTGCAGCTAATTCATAAAAAAATAAAAATAAAAAAAAAAAGAGCCAAAGAAGAATGTTGGGTAGCAACTGTGATGTCGCAATGACTGAAAACTTTGTTTTTCCATCTGGAACTCTTCGAAAATTTGTGCAAGGATACTTGATACTGGCTTGCAAATAATGACAGATCAATCAAACAAGCATTTTTATGTATAATAAACCAAAATAGAAATGCAATGGAATTGACGACTACAAGGTCGATGCTAACTTTGTGTCATCAACATAAAAGCTGCGTGTTGACCTTACTGCCAGCATGGCAGTATTATAAGGGGAAAATTCAGTCTTAAATAGGTTTAAGTTGTTGGTCTAAATTCAGTGAACTAAAGACAGAAGTAGTTAAACTCAGATTATGCTAATAAGATGTAAAGTGTCCAGTTTACAGATTCATTATGTACTGGTCTGGCTAGAATGAATACAACACTGGGTAGCAGTAGCCTATTCAATCAGTGTTTTGCTGCCAGTTACGTCCAAACTTTGTGGGAAACTCATTACAACATATGCTTAACTCTGGTTTCCCAGTGTGTATAAAATGTGTTTAGGTAAAATTAAAATTATGTTTAGGCCTTTTTGCATGGATGACACAGCATACAGGTCACATGAGGTGTTAAAAATATGTTGCTTTGACACGTAAACATCGATAGGCGTAGATAACGGCTACATATCTCACTTAGTGCTGTCAAGTATTTCTCTTTCAGTGGTCTAAAAGTTCACTTATTAACGCTTTAAATATTGTTTTTGTTTGTGAAACAAAATGTTTTTAAACGGGGCTTATGTCTCATTAGATAGAATAATTCCTCTTGATTGGCATCTTGGCTACCGTGTACAAACAAAGAATGAAAAAGGCTCCAATTAATTGTAGTCTGTTCATGGTGAGATGAAACAAAATTATCTTTCTTTGCTCTTCTTTCTTCTTGTCTACACCAAAACAGGCTCTGTCTCAAAGATTTAAACTGACAGACCCCAAATCCCTAATAATATAAAAAAAAAGGCATTTATTTCTGTGGAAATGAATGATCGTGTAGCACTTTGAAGTTTGTCTTTTCCACTAAAAGCACAAAAGTTTGAACATTGGTTTTTAGCTTAAAGACAGCTGTACAAACAAAATGCTTTGTTACAGGAATTTATTATAGTTTAGAGATTTTATTAAACATCTTAAACATTCAGAGTACAACATACAGACAAAGCCACTTTGGGGCATATCTTTTGCATCTTAACTCTTTTCTACCCTGAATAACTTCCTGTCAACCCCTCAAACATTTTAACTATAGCTGTAGCTTTGCATTTATTTAATGTATAGTAAAATTAGCTAAGTGACCCTATGAAAAGCTATATTTAGTTGTAATCGAAGTTTAAAAGCAAAATAATTTGTTTTTCTTTATTTCCCAGTCTCTTCTTCACCTTGTTTGAACGACAAAACAGAGGAACTTCAAGTGCTTGAGCTGAAGATGGAGGCAGAGAAAGCCAAAGGTCAGCTGAAGGATGATTTGATAAATGATCTGCGTTTGGATAAACTCCAGCTGCGCCAACAAGTGACTCAACTGGAGGACCTTCTCAAGATACAAATGGAGAAGAAGCAGGAGCCGAAACAAGAAAAAAAGCCAGGTAGGTTTAATTTGAACTCTTATAAAAACGGCTGGATTTGTGATGCCCTGTTTTTAAAGAAGTGACTAGGAAAATAAGAGGAATGGTAAAATTAGCAGCACAAAATAAGTATTTAATCCAGGCAGAATAAAACGCTATATTTAAATGCAAAGGAATAATCTCATTTCACCCAAGTGCCTCTTTGACTTGCTCATTATGAGCAGCAGATACGTTGAGAGTCCATAGTGAGCTTCTGATTGCCTCAGTTTTTTGTGTTAATCTCAACAATTTTATAATCTGTCCATTTTTGTTCACAGCATGTTGATGCATGACATAACTTCAGATATAATTTGATTTAGGCTTGCTGTGCTGTGAATGTTGCACAAACTTACAGGGAAGGGGCTCATTCATAAAATGTTTCGAGGGAATCCTACAAAAATAGAAACCATATATGTTTAATTTTATGAGACGAGGAGAAAGATGAAGGGCTTAAAGAAAGCAAGGCACCCACAAGTAAAAAAAAGTGGCACACTTGTTTTTGTTTTTAATCTTACAGACAATCTTGTAAAATGATACAAAGAAGGAACTGAACCCTGTGAAATTAACTTTTTGCCCAGTCTTTTTAAAACTATGCAAATAGTTATTGTGATTTAAGATTTTCGACAAGTTTATATTACATAAATTAACTATAATACTGATTTTAAAAAGATTGAGATCAACTAATAATGTCATAAAAAGGTACATTTTTTGGATCTTTACATTACAAAATGAAAGGCTTAAACCAAAAATAGTTAACTTGCTCAGATGAACACATTTTTTCTCCAGTATTTGTTCACTTAGAATCAAAGGAGAATTTACTGATAAAATCTTACTCTGGTGAAGGTATAAAGCAGTTGTTTGATTAGATCTGTCATGTTTGGTTAAAAATAGCAAAGAATATTTTTAGTTTGTTCCTGACGCCTTAGTTGTGATTTCAAGTTTTCTTTTCTAATTAAATAAAATAGTTCAGGAGTAGACATTTGAGTGTTTTGAAGTGAATAATTAAAATGCAAGTGTTATAGTTATATATATAAATGTGTAATTGTGTTGCCATAAGTCTTCCATTTTTTTTATCTGCTCGGACATGAGTATGTAGGATAACTCGGTTACCGTGTTTTTTTTCTTAGAGGGTGAAGCTGAAGCAGACAAAAATTGCCCGCTGCCTCCTGCAGATGGATTTCCAGAGTGTGAGGGGAAAATAAAGGTAATGAAGCGCACTCGTTTTAATAGAAATGACTAGAGGCTCTCATGAAGATCAGTGTGCGTTGAGAGTAACAATGCGGTTGTTTCTGTTGTGGCCCTCTGGATCTCCGTGGCTCCAGTGGATGAAGGACATGTGGAAGAGTGACCCTTGCTACAGCAGTTACGGTGTGAATGGGTCACTGTGCTCCTTCATCATTTACCTCAGCGAGGTACCCAGGTGGTTTTAAACACACAGAGTTGGCAATCTGAGTCAAAATGAAGGTGTTAGTGATGTTAAACTGTTATCTCTGTTTGTGTGTTGATCGACAGTTTAAAACTTTTGCCCGCATCGTTACAGTAATTCTTACAAAGTGAGTCGATTTGTCTTGAAGGAGAAAAGTGATAATTTGTTTGAGTAACTGCTCCCGTTTCTTTACATGTTCTGTTAAGGTAGAGTCCTGGTGCCCAGTTCTTTCAGGCCGGAAGGTACGACCATCTGAACTGGAAACGGTGAAGGTGAAGTCCAAAGAAATCTTGTTTTCTTATCATGAATAGCAGCAGCTAGAACAGCAGCAGAATTTTAGAACTACTCACTTGAGTTTACATCATTCTTTCCTCTGTAATTTCCCTAAAAGAACAAGTATGATTTAAAAAAAAGTCTTCAAATATTTTTAATAGAGTTCAATGTAGAAACCAACAATTTTTAGTCAGGTCATCTGGACAGTTTCTCTTTTTTGTGCTGAAACGTTTCACCTTCCATCCAGAAGGCTTCATCAGTCAAGGAAACGCACAACACAAAACTGATTCTTCCCCCAAACAGCTTACACCAAAGTGGAACAAACCAGTTATGTTGGTGCTAAGATGGTGTCTTTGGCATGCCCCTTCCTCCGGTGCCAGCCCTCTTCCTTGTTGACAGTCATGTCAAATGGTTCAAAACCAACAAAGTCCATGCGCAATAATCCAGGTATACAGTCCAACAATTTTCAGTCAGGTCATCTGGACAGTTTTTTTTTTTTTTTGTGTGTGTGGTGAAACGTTTCACCTTCCATCCACAAGGCTTCATCAGTCAAGGAAACGCACAACACAAGACCATCTTGGCATCAACGCAACTTGTTTGTTCCACTTTGGAGTAAGCTGTTGGGGGAAGAATCAGTTTTGTGTTGTTTCCTTGACTGATGAAGCCTTCTGGATGGAAGGTGAAATGTTTCAGCACACAACAAAAGAAACTGTCCAGATGTCCTGACTGAAAATTGTTGGATTGTATACCTAGATTATTGAACATGGACTTTGTTGATTCAATGTAGAAAGTTGCAAAACTGACCCAAATTTTAATACAGACATTCATAATATTTTATGCTTCTCAGCTAATTTCTTTTGCGTAACAAAATTTCTTTAAAATTTAAAAGCAGATCCACAAGATAACATGTTTGTGCTGTTTTTTTTCCATGTTCTCAGCTGGTATCACACAAAGCTGCTGTACGCAACAATATGGAAGGTTTGTACCAATCTCTGGCCAATAAAACCCAGTTCAGATGGATCCATCAACGGATTAAAAGTATGGAGGCGATTTGGGTGGAGGCGGGACGCTCCCTTTCAGCCAAATACAACCTGACGGAGCGGAACGTTAAACAGGTAAATACATTTAGAGCTGACTGTTGGGTTTTAGAAATCTGATCATCTACGGTAGATGTGTTGTTTTCTTTGACGTTACTGGTTAACAGTGGCTCGATGAGCCCACAGGTCTTGAGTTTTGTTCAAGCACTGTCTAGTTTTTATTTAATTTTATATTTTAGGGCCTAAAAGTTCGTCTGACACACATTCAAGTTCTGCAGGCAGCAGTTATTGACTTTACAGTAAAGATTCAAACTGAAAGAACACTTGTTGTCATTGCAGGAAATGAGCCACCCCACTCTGTCACTTTGTCTTTAAATGATCAAAACTATTTAGAAGTTCTTCCTGAAAAGCAGAAAAATAAGCGATTGTGAAGAATTTATGTAGATCCGAAAGTGTTCAAAGTTGGGCTCGTATTTTTTTCTTCCCGCTCAGATTCTGGTGCATCCGGGTGCGATTACAGATGAAGCAAATCTAAAAATTGTGAACAACGCTTTCAGTGGAGGTCCTCTTGGGGAGCTAGTTCAGTGGAGTGATCTTATATCCACACTTTACATCTTGGGTCATGATCTTCACCTGTCTGCCTCCATACCGACCCTCAAAACGTGAGTTAACACACTGTTTTCATTCACATCGTTACTTAAAGGCGAAAAAAATGTAGAGCTCAAAATAGTAGCTTGATGAATCGTAATCAGTCCTTTTTAAGTTATCATATATTCATATAAAATGTGGTTTTACTTATTTTTCTGTTTTTGAATTTATTTATTTTTAGCTTTTTTGGTTCTGTGACTAGTAACTGTCCTCCTCGCCATGCACATGTGGAACCGAACCTGATCTACACAGACATTATTGGTTTCAGACAAATCACGTCTGTGCTGAAGGAATCCTGGACAAAACACAAGTAAGTATCAGACCTCGACAGCTTTTTAAAATGGTTTTGCAGTATGCAGATACATGCAACAAAGTGTTCCCAGATAAGATCTGTCAGTGGCAAAAGGCAAAGACTGGGAATGGAAGAGTAAATAATTTGATCCACTGGGCAAATATTATTGAGACTGTCAGCAGGTAATGATTGGGTGTACATCTACATGATTAAAGTTTAGAGTTCCCTCATTTCAACATGGCCACTACAGCTAAACATCAGCAAAACAAAAATTCCCAGAACTTAAGTCAATTTTCCAGGTGATGAGTTGAAATTTAATATAGTTATAGCTGTGACTCATTCTCAACACGCTCTGAGCATTAGCAGATCTCTAGATGTGGCTGTGGCAGCCATCTTGAAGTAAAACTGCCATTTATGGTAGTAGTTGACATGCAAATAATGCTAAGCCTTTTTTTATATAATTTTTTTTAGTACAAAAAGCCTTTTTTGGTTAAAAAAAGATGCCTCATTTGCTCAAATAATTTTGAAGAATTGCATAATTGTAAGGAAAGGACCATCTTATGGCATTTTCTTACCAATTTAACCAAAGTTCAGCTAAATCTACAGCTGAAGAACAATAAACTTTAACATCAAATATGCAATAAATACTGGTGCATATTAACACACGTTACCTTTGTTGGTATTGTTTTTTTGAAAACAGTTACTAAGTAATATAATACTATACAATACATATAATACTACATATTTGCTAAGATAAAATCAAGGTAAACACAACAACTAACGGTAATTGGAACAAAATGTTTTGTTGAAACGAGATCAATGGAAAAGAGAAGCAGTCAAATCCGAGTCAATGAGTGATGCTGAAATGCAGAAAACACCGAGTGAGATGTTTCAGTATTAGACGGTTATTGGAGGGGTGAGACGGCAAATGATGTCTGCAGATACAATGTGTAAATTTTCACCTTTTGAGAGGAGAATAACGGCGAGCTGACGCCTGAGAGGGTAAGAGGAAGATCTCAAACATAAAAGTCAGGGTGTCGAGGATGACGAGAGATCTGACAAAAACCAGTACCGGAGCTTAAAGCCTGAACAGGTCTGTCATTGAATAGTCACTTATTTTAAAGAAAAGGGCAGACGGATGTGCCGTGCAGACAGAACAGAGCGTATGAGCACAAATAAAGGTCATTTAAAAATAAAGAGTAATGGAAACGTTTCTCTTCTGCTTTTAACACACAACTCGAATGTCCTTGTTGCATCAGGACAAAGTGCATTTCAGATGCCAAGACTTGTTTTCTTTTTCCAAGTCAAAAAGACGTGCATGTTCCACTGCTGGTTCTGAGCTAACTTTTTATGTCAAGCGAGCAAAGTGTGGGTGGGGGACAGCTTCAAAGACACTTCTCTCTTTTATGTGCTCAGTGGAAAAATGATCACCATGAATATGGAAATTATTTCAGGATCATTCCAGGACACTGATGCTAAAATGGGTTTACTTCTTTGTTTTATATTTATTTTAATAAGTGCAAATTTCTTAGGGGAAAAAAGCATTAAATTGCAACAATGTGGCAAAAGTCTTTTTAAGGGCCTTGTGATTTAAATAAAGTCACAAAGACTGATTATTTTGTCTGTTTGCCAAATTCCAGGAGTTTCAGATGAATTTACATGAACACTTTTTTAAAAATCAGAAATTAACTTAGAATTGATCAACAACTGATATTTAATGAAACTTGGATTTTCAATTTACCCGGACATAGTGTTTAACCTTTATTACTTTCTGCTTTAGCTTGAGAAACCCAGTGTCAAAACCTAACTGGACTACCATATTTTTCAGACTATAAGGCACATTAAGCAAAACAAAAACAGTCAGATATTTATTCAGCTCATTCACAATAACCACATAAAATTGGTTCGAGGTCAGTAGGCACAACCAGAATTAATACAAAAGGTGCACCTGATTGAGGCTTACTGTCAATTTTTGAGAAAATCAAAGGATTTTAAGTGCGCCTTATAGTCCGAAAAATACAGTAATCAATATGAAGTCCACATTTCAATATAAATAAATAACTTAAAAAATCTGGTTCCATCTCTTTCACCACCATATGTGACAGTCCCACCATGACTGGTAGAAAGAAAAAAAAACCTGCTTCCTTACGGCATTGGTTATTTTAAGCTTAGTATAAGAGCAATCACCAAATTGTAAACTCGTTCATTGTACTATCTGTTTATTTACGTTAGAAAAACAACTGTTAGAAACACATTTAGCTAATTTATCTGATTTTATCGTCTCTTTGCCTAGTATAATTGACATCCAAATGTTTATACAAAAATATAAAACTGCTCAGAATGTATTGGGGATGATTCTCAGTTACTACCATACTCATACTGAGTTATAACCATTTTTCAGCTTGAGGTGAGGAACTGTGTCCATCCTGAATCAGATTGACTTCAAAAGTTATTTACAAGTAGCGTACTTGCCGCGCTGTACACGTCGCGCCCGCCATGAGTCCAAATATGTCTAATGAAGTGGAAAAAAATAAATATGGAGCTTCACCGAATAAGTCGCATCTATTCTGCGTCACTGCTGATACGTCGTGTTTATGCGTCACCACTGACGACACAAAAATGTGGGCCAGTGCGCCAAAAATCGAGTGGCTGCCAAATGGCGGCCGCAGGAGCGTGCATGGGAGGACTTTAACAATTTATCTTAATAAATGCACTTTGACGGTCAAATCAGCTGCATTTCATAAGCCGATACGCAGAAGCAGGAGCATGTCGAGGAATGACGCGCTGCGCATTTCTTCAAAATTTAACAATATAACCACCTAAATACAATTTGTTTGCTTAAAATTATAGTAAAGCTGTGTCTCAGCTGAACTTTTACTTAATGAATGCACTTCAATGGTCAAATCGTCTGCATTTCGCAGCACTGCCCAGGCAAAATGCAGCTGATTTGACGTTTGCCCTAGGAGTTCCGGAGCGAGGCAAAGCTGGCTAGTATGGCAAGCCAAGTCTCATTAATAGCTACATTTACCTTTTAATGAGAGACTTGGTTTACCATATATGGCGACCACCCTCTAGTGGCAGAAAATGGTATTGTCCAATATTTTCCATGTCAGAATGAATGAAATCTTCAAATGTCAGCCAAAAATTGGGTTATAAATATGGAAAACATAAATGTCACTTTGCTGTATAAGTCACAGGCATGCTAATTTATGCAAAAAACTGACTCATACTGTGAAAATTATGGTAGTTGTCCCTCCAGTGATTACTTTGAGTTTCGTTCAAGTTCACCCAGTGTTAGCCAGTAAGATATTTTACTAAACACGAGACAACTATATAACCAGCTTCTCGTGGTGTTCGGTGATGAACTTAGTGTGGACCTATGTTCGTTCTTCAAGTTGAACAGCTAACAGGCCGAACGACTATGGTTTAAAATTACACTGATGTAATTTGCATAAAATACCACTTGACTAAATGTATTTTAAAAAGTTTATTCCTTAGTCATTTAATTATTTTGCATTACAAGTGAAATGTTGCTTCTTTAGTAAGTTTCTACTTTGATACTAGAGTTACAGTTTGGCTTGTATCACCCTTTTTTAATGTCTGTGTGTTTATCAGGTGTGTGATCCGTGTGTTGGACTCTTTCGGCACTGAACCAGACTTCAATCATGCACAATGGGCTGAGAAACATAACCTTAAAAGTCCATTTGGTGGTCTGAATCTGATCCCCATGCAGTTCTACACCATGTTCCGTATGTCTCTGGTCCTTTTCAGTTAACACCTAGTCTGGTGGTTCATGCAACTCGTACTCGAAACAAATACCCAATCATACAAAAGTTTATTTCATAATTGTGAAACTTTAAGATTTTCTGTAGCCAATGCTTGAAAAAACGTTTAATCGTTTTTTTCCAGTTGTGTGTTTTCTAAGTGACATGTACTATATTGTTGGATGCACAGCTCACACACCAGACAACACATTCCTTGGCTTTGTGGTGCAGCATCAGCTGAGCTCTGAAGAACGCGAGCAGCTCAAGTCCACCAAGAGGCAAAACCAGGCTCTCGTGTACGGAAAGCGTGCCGCATTTTGGAAGGTAACTTCAGAAACCGCTGGAGTTCTGCAAGTATGGAACATTTTAGAAGTTTTCAGTTGCACTGAGTGTCTTCTGCTGTTACACTGCAGGATAAGGAGGCCTATCTGAATGTTATCCACAAGTACTTGGATGTCCACGGGACGGTGGACGACAGTGCTTTGATTCCAAGTTACGTCACAAACCATGGCATCGTCAAAGGAACTGAAGTGCAGACCTTGTTGAGACAGAGCAAAGTAAGTGTCCATCAGAAATTATCTTTTTAGTCAAATTTGTTTTAATTTATGAGCATAAATAGCTAAGCTAAATGTCTCTTAGATTTTGAACAGCTATTTTACATCTGTTTTGTTTGCTTTAACATAGCTATTTATCTCCCTGAGCCACTTAATGTTCTGTTAACTTTTTAGTCATAGTTCTCGCTCGTGTTTTGAAGAGTATAGAAAATCAAAATGATGCTCATGGCTGAATATTCATGGAGACGTCCCATTATTTTCCAGAGGAATCCTAACGCAGCTTTCTTTTCCCGAGGCCTAATCTTTTGCCTCCCACTTATTTTGACGAGTGGGCGCGTTCCTTTTTCCAGCTCCTCAAAGCAAAGAGCCGCTGAAATCTGCACAAGTCTGGTCTTCGTTCTGTGCAGGAGATTTGCAACAAAAGCACTTGTAGCCTTTTTGTAAATGCTCACCTGCATTGTTCCTGTGGGGGGAGGACAAAAGCGTTTAATTAGAAATTGTGAAAAGGGTTTTAGCTGATGAAAGACGTGTTCATCCCAAGTTAAAGATGACAGAAGTGTAAACTTGTGGGTTTTTTATTTTTGATCTGGTGGATTGAAAAAGTTAGTCAAAATAAATGAGTCATAAAAATGGTTTTAAAGGAACTTGATGTGAAGTCATGAAAACCAGTTTAGAAAAATAATAATTTAGGAAGAAACTCAATCTGCACTTTTCTTTCTCATATTAAAGGTTAATGTGTCCTTAAAATAAAAATGTGTACGCAAAGACTGTAAGGCTGCCAACAGCCACAGAAGTTTTATTTCCCTAAAACAAGCAGTGACTGAAACTAAGTCAACAACGAGGATGTCCATAGAAGAGACGTTTGAGGTAAAGAAAAAAAATCTGACAGAAGTTTGACGGGTATTTCTGCTCAGACTTGTTGAATAAAGTTAGCAGATTCACTTTCAAGTGGTTGTCAGACACATTTAGTTTAAGTGCACACCCATTTTAACATTTCTGGGAAACTACTGATGAAAAATCTTTTAAACTTGGCCATATTTCAAAACAACCCTTTTGAAAGATCAGCTTTAACGTTTGCGATCAGTACCTTTTTAAAACTTTTAATTAGGAATAAACTTTACCAGAAGTTGTTCAAAATAAGACCGACGTCTTGAGCAGCTAAGGTTGTTTGCAAATCAAGGTTTTGATTCTGATTGCACAAACGGGGCAGGAATACTTTTCAAAAGTGTTTTACTTAAAAATATCCAAACAAAAGAGTAAAGTACTCGTTTCAGAAATGATTTAATCAAAACACCTTGCCATAGTCACCATCTCTTAGAAGGTAAATTGCAAGTGGACTGTACATAAGTGTCTTTTTAGCCATCCAGGCTACTTAAAGTACTTAAACACAATCTACACCAACGTTTATCCATTGACACACATTCATACAGCACTCAATTACATTTCTGCAAAGCTAACCTGAATAAATCATTGTTTAGAGTCTGTCATTTTAGATCACATTCATACACCAAAGAAGCACATAAGAGGCATTGAGGGGTTCAGTGTCCTGTCCAGGGACACTTGGACATGTTTACATGCTGCCAGCTATCAAACCTTCGACTCTTTCATTGGAGGACGACTGCTCCAACCACTGAGTCGCAGTCGTCCCAAAAGGCAGACTTGTATCAACTCGATCTTATGATACACTTATTGGGAATTCCTTGTTTATGGGAAAGATTACTGTCCCCAATCTCCTCACAAGTGGGGTTCATGCCTATGCTTTACTGTCAACATTCATATAATTATATTTTCAAAGTTTAATTTTTTTGTGTGTGTGAATAATACTGGATAAAAACTGACCTATGAGAAAGGTAAATATTTTCCCAGTAATTATGTCACATGTACCTCTGGATTAGTTTTGCTGATGTTGGCTGCCATCATGTGGTCTCACAGTAGAAACCAAGTCAGACTGTGTATTTATAAATTTATACATTTCATTACTAAAACAAGGTGCTGTACAATAATCATAAAACAAAATTAAATTAAATACAAGCAAGAAAATGTATGTTAAATACAATATATATATATATATATATATATTGTATT